TAATTTAAAAAATTGAACTTGTTCTATATTTTATACAGCTAATTTCTAAATAAATATATAAAAATTAGAGAAGAAATTGTTGAATTTTAATGGCGAGATTGATTGATTAATGTTAGAGAATCAAAGCAGAGAATTTAATTTAAATGTTGTGTAATTTGAAAATGTGCTGGGATAGTTTGATCACTGGTGAATCAGAAGGATCAGTGTTTCCATTATGGAGAGAAAGTTGCACGAAATGCAACAATTGAGAATCGACCGCGTATTCAGAAGATTGCCAACAGAATACTCCGAATCCCTATTGGGTGCTACAATCAGGACACGCTGGAAATCCCTTACCACAAGGGGCTAATAAAATAGAATCTAGATATCGGAGTTCGTGAGAAACTAACATTTTGAACGTTGCTACTGTACTACTAACACGAACTGTATCCTACTTTATGAAACAATTTCGTGGCAAAAACAATGTTGCCAAATTGTATATATTTTTTTATGTCTGCTTCATAAAATGCTATATATTTTTTATACTTCTTTACAAATAAATCTGATGTATATATATATATATATATATATATATGTCTCGTAATAAATATTTAATTTAACAAATATTTTTAAGTATATTCCAGATTATAATTTGCATCACTTATTAATACGATTTGTCATTTAATATTATTGGACTGTAAATTGAAAAAATTGTAGTTCTATGTCTGTCTGTCTGTCGTTCCTTAATCTCGAGAATGGTGTTAGTAAATGAAAGTCGAGACCAGATATGGAAAGCTTAGGGCCTCCTACCCCTAAGCTTTCTATATCTGGTCTCGACTTTATAACTATATAGAAATTCGACTTATAACTATATATGAACATCCAGTTTGCACCGGAAGTCACGTTATTTCTATTCAAAAATTTTCCCCTAAACAGAGTTAGATAGATGACCGGCACGTCTATCATGTTAATAGGAAAAGTATGATGTACAGGGGCAAGACACTATTAAAATGAAAGCCTATATTTTAAATAAATTAAAAATATAATTAAAAATTGCAGCCCGGCATTGTGACGATATTAATAATTAAGATACATTACATAGATTTAAAGTGATGTAAATAGTTAGTTAGATTTATATTCCTGGATAAATATAAGCTCATAATATATCTATTTACTATACAGTTGTGGGAGAATAAGGGATGATAAATCTGGAAGCAGAACAAATATACAAAAATAAGATAATATATAACAGAAATTGTATGTAATCTTTTATAAGAAGTAATCCAGATGCGACCCGGAGCTATTTATAAAAGACTATAGACATTAAGAATAAAGTTTATATACAAAACTAAGACGAAAATAATAATAAAAAAAAGGTGAGTACTGAGTAATAAAAAATTCTGAGTACAAAGACAGACTGCAAATAAATCGCTTTGTAAGGAAGGTTATTTCGAAAAGGATAAATAAGTCTGGTATGTAAATAATAGCCAATACCCGACTTTCTTCTTAGTATGCATTATATATACGCCCGTCACGCTATAGAGATTGTGAAGAATTTTCTTAAAGGGGGAAAAATGCTAAGAACTAATTTAGATAATTTTAGAAAATTTGCATATAATATTATAAAATTTCTGATAAAGTTCGTTCGTTAAAAAGTTTATTATGTTGTAGAAATATTTTAAAAGTAAATTTAATTATTGTTTCCATCTATTCATTTGAATTTATTCTTTAAAATAAAATATTAAAGAAAGTTTTAAAATAAACAATTTTTTAATTGTAAAATTGTTGTAAACGCACCTACAGACAAACAAACAGACATATTTTTTTTTTTAGAAAAAAAAGGATCAAATTATACTGTATTTATGACACACAAAGCGTGCTTCAATCAGAATTATAATATCGATTTTTTTCACTAAAATATTTTATGGAGAAAGCAAAAATCTTATTATTATTACTAATTTTTTTCTGAATTTTTTTAAATAAAAAACTTTTTATTTATGCCTATTTTATTCGGGTTTTAAAAACTATTAATAGAAAAATATGATTCACGATTTTTATGCACCATTTAAGCTCTTATCAGAATAAAATAAATCCTGATTAAGTAGCGCCATTGAAAATAATCCTCAAAGTATCTATAAATTCAAAAAGCATTTAAACTTTTCAAAAAACTGCTTTTAATTATTGTTTATAATAATACTTTGATAATATAAAATAATATAATAATACGATAATCCTTTGGAAACTATGCCAACGTGGGATTAGTATTATTGATTGCTGGCACCACACAACGTGTACTATTGATCCTGCAGCTGTTGACCAGTCAAATTTATTGTCATAATCTCTCATCTCTTTATTAGATATGTTATATCGTATAAAAAGGGATAGATGCAGCTTGATAATTATCCATATAAATTATTTTCGACTTAATCTTCCTCTTATAATCTCAACTTTTATTATACTTTCCTATGTCTAGTATCTAATAAAGTTCTCAATTTTGCTTAAATTTTTGGAAGTTTTACGCTGCTTATACGAAAACTTTTGTATCGACGAAGTTTAATAAGTATCTTTATATCAACTTATAATTATACAGGGTGGTCCAAAAGTCAGTTAACCGTAATCATTTTTATAAACTCAATTTGCGATTTATAGGTATATCTGCAATAAAAAGACAACAATAGTTAATTAACTTTGGGGCTATTTTATGTATAAAGTTTGACGCAAAAGTCAGTTAACCATTTTTGATGTGTGTGCTTTTATGTATCTGTATCAAGTTATTGATTTTATATATATATATATATATATATATATGANAAGAATAAACAATATTTATAAGTTATACTTCTTGAATGTTTTTAATAGTTATAAATATTATTATATATGTGACATCTATTTATACAATTTAATAAAAGTGATCAATCTTGAAGATAAAATACGACTTTCAAAGACAGGTATTTATTTTTTATATTGGAAACAAAGTTAAATCCAAAACAAAGAACTGACCACAGCAATTCTTAGTTTTTCTTTTTATTTATTTTTTTATTCGGCCTATGCAGTCCAATATAAAACTTTATCGATGAAAATAAAACAATAGAAAAGAAACGTAGAAACATCTACTCACTTGAATAGAGACTCCCTGGTGAGCCAATCCTGATTTCTCTTGGTCGTTCTCAGAACGAAAAGAGCTACCAAAAAACACGTGACTAGCCTACAGGTCCATACCATCCGAAGACCACGTGGTTTGATCCTCTTCAAGCCACACGTGACTACCATGCAGAATCCAATACTAAAAGAAAAAAAAGTACAACTTCACGGTACATCTGCACCCAAATTGCCGAGGACTGCTATACTGTCAAGTCGACACAATGTCTCTGAACACATTGTAACGTAATCTCATTACTTAGATCTTGTTTCTCTTTGTTACTTCCGTGACCGAAATTCGATATTTTCCTTTAATGACCTTTCCTCATTCTTGAGTGTTTGTGTAGGTCGTCTAATTTTAAATTTTGCTTAGATTAATGATTGAATCAATTTATCAAATCACTAGAAATGTTTCCTCGTCATTGAAAAGTCAAGAATTCCTAGAAGCATCGAATTTTGTGAAATCACGTTTTACCAGAGAGAGAAATATTTTCATTAAAGTTTCACGAATAGATGAAATTTTCCTCACATAATAAACTAATTTCTTACAGATTTATCTTTATAATTGTTAAGCTATATTTTTATTAAAATTCCCTTAGCATCTAATTAATCCCACGAAGCCGCGTGTCCAATTTACTGTAGTTTAACTAAGCGATAATTACAGTTTACTTTAAGTAAAACTCACCTGGGTATATATAGCACTCTTTCTGCTATTACGAAGCCAACAGTAGTAAATAGATTTGTGGCAGGTAGGAAGGAGAATATCAAAACTGAGAGAGATAATCCTAAAGATTCTCTTTCGCATCTCTAATAATTAGAAAAATCTCTCATAAGATTTGTGAATAACAAATTAAAGTGATTTAAAATTTTTAATAATAAGATTAATTTAAATTATACGTTTATTTTTAGCCATTTAATACCAAAGACAAGCATAGGATAATCTTGAAAATTTTATTCAAATTAATTTAATATTTTCATATTTCTTTCACGTTATATTACATTTTATTTTACTTTCCCGAAGAAAGTATGGCGAGCTGTTAAAAATATGACCCCCCAAAAAATTTTAACATTTTTTTTGGACTCAGAGGACCTTGAAACGTTGGCAAATGTAAACAAGTTGGGGTTTCTCTATATATAGATACTAGTATGTGTGTGTGGGTGGTTATGATTTTTTCATCTACTTTAAATCTTAATAACTCCTGTGCTTTTTGCAGAAAATTTCTGAAATTTTGTAGTGACGTTTGTATATTAGGGGGTTGTGTTCTTAGAAATTTTCATGAAAATCGGTCTATTAGTTGGGAAGATATTAAGGGGTGGATCCTTTATATCAAAAACCTTCCAAGTTTATGAATTATTTTAAAAAGTCGTCGCTACTTTTAAAATTAACGTTTCGTAACGAATGGCGCCACGCATAATTTTAACTTCGTGCTAATATGTTTAACAAGTTAGTGTTTCTTAAACATAACTATCTTTCGCCGTAAAGGTTATTCAACTTATGGCTGAATTTTTAAACAAATATTTTAATTTTTAAACATAATTTTGATACTATAATTAATTTTAGCTCTATAAAAAATATATTCGATATTTAAACTTAATTAAGGAATAATTTTAAATAAAATTTTTAAAGATTTAATTATTTAAATTCCATTTATAATACTGTACACAAAATAAGATCAATGAAATAATATTCGTTCTAATGATGTTCATTAAACAATGTTAGAATTAATTATAATTTTCTTACTACTAATTTAATCATCTCATTAAAGGTGAAAACTTCATTTTTTTAGATTTTATTTTTAAAACACTCCAGCTGTTAATTAATGTATATTAGCTGTTGTAAGTGTGTAAAGAAGAGGAGGAGAAGATTATTAAAGTGAAGCATGTTTTTCGTTTCATAAACACGAATGTAGAGCCATTTTAGTAAAATTAAACGTTCATTTCTACAAATCTGAATGATTACGACGGTTATAATTTAGGTCATGCGATCAATGAAAAGGTTTTCCACGAAGTACATTGTCTCGTTCATTTTTAATCGAGTAAAGTCTCGAACATAGTTTCACGATCCACTTTCCTAGAACATAATCCGAGAACGTGATAAGGTACGTGACATTTGCGTGTTAACAAACTGAGATAATATAATAAAGACATTAAACGAACAATATTTACCATTGTTGTTTTGTTGATTTGTGTATACAGTAAAGAGATTTCATGTAAAGCATCCCTGTGATTTACACGTGAATTAATACTTGATAATAATACTTCCGCTTGTTTAAAATATTTTTCTTGTATTAATAATTCAGCCTATCAGGGAAAAAAAATGTTAAAAAAAGAATAATTTTTCTGTAATTTTAAAATGGCTTTATTAAAATTACAACAACAAAATTCTTTAAAATTATTATTTTTTATAGCATTAAAATAAAGAATTTTTATATAATTATGCTTATAAATTATTAAAATAAAACATATTCTAAACGTTTTTTTTAAA